GCGCTACGGGGCCCAGGAGGGGCGCGACGGGGCCCAGGAGGGGCGCTACGGGGCCTGGGAGGGGCGTGACGGGGCCTGGGAGGGGCGCGACGGGGCCCAGGAGGGGTGCTACAGGGCCCAGGAAGGGCGCGACGGGGCCCAGGAGGGGCGCTACGAGGCCTAGGAGGGGCGCGACGGGGCCTGGGAGGGGCGCGACGGGGCCTGGGAGGGGCGCGACAGGGCCCAGGGAGGGCGCTACGGAGTCCAGGAGGGGCGCGACGAGGCCCAGGAGGGGCGCTACAGGGCCTAGGAGGGGCGCGACGTGGCCTGGGAGGGGCGCGACGGGGCCCAGTGAGGGGTGCGACGGGGCCCAGGAGGGGCGCTAGAGGGGTGAGCGGAAGCGGTAGGTGGGGGGGGGGGGGATCCTACCTACGCGTGATACCATATCAGAATTGAGAAGTGAATAATAGATAGAGTGAGAGTACACACAGATATACCTAAGTGTTGTACTCTCTAAGAGGCGACCGTATACAGTCTATACAAACATGACAAATACACATGTTTGACACTAGTTAGTCGGAAAACCAGCAAACAAAAACCCGAAACCCCATACCCCAAATTCCCATCCCCGAACACTCAAACCCGTCCATCCAACAAATAGGGCGCCTCCACCCATAGCGCACCCCATCCCCCCCCCTCCCCCCGTGTCATCATAATCCCGCTCCACGAGATCAATGTCTGTGCTCCCAAAAGTCGTCGCGGCACGCAACGAAATAACGAGAGCTTGCGCGCGCTGCAAAGCCACCCCGATTGCGGCCTTCAAAGAGCCAAGAAGGTAAGCAGAGAAACCCATATCATCCTTCCGGCACGCCCCTCGATAAGCTTTTATGCGCAGATGGACATCCCCCTGCTGCTTCGACCACTGCCGAAAACGCGAACCAAGACAACCTCACGTTTCAACGATGAGCAGGGTGAACTGCACCCCCCTATGACACGCCAACAACGCCCGGTAATCCACCGTCTTGTGGCGCTCCCTTTCCCTGGCCGCCACCCCTAAAGTACGCCCGCTCTGCCCTACCAGTTCCAGAGAGAGCGACAGCGGATCCGAAACGCTCACCTCCAGCACGTGAACCGCACCCTCCATCGGCCAACGGACAACGACATCAACCCGCTTCCCAAGGAGCAACGTGTCATCATCGAGCGACACCACCCCCTCCAACGCCTTTGCGATTTTTGCCACAACAAATTTGACCTCGTCATGAACCCTAAAGGGCGCGTACTAATGCCGACACCTCAACGCATGATGGGGGTTTGCCAAATCAGAAAACGCAACCCCATACACATAACTGCCCACCACCTACAACTGCTGGATGGGGGACCGAAGACACATAGCAGTTGCAATGCCGCATTCAGCAACTGTGAACGTGGAGTTCCCATGCGCCGGAATCGCCGAAACCCAAGCGCCTGCCCTCGGGCCTTAAAGGGATGTCAAACAAGCCAATGTGGCATTGTCCTGGGCGAGACGACGTAGGGATCGAAGCTCCTCAACGGCTAAACGCCACTGCAGCACCCGAAAAGGATGAACTGGAGGGTTGATGGCGCAATGCGGCAGGCTGGGCATCTCCCAACGCACGGGCTGTGGCAACAAAGCGAGGCTCCTAACGTACCATGGGTCCACGAAATCCAACCCCCCACCCCCCCCCTTCCATTGGCGTGCGGAAAAACTCAATAATAATCGCCTCCTCTCCCGAGACCCCCAACTGGGCCACGTCAGACACCGACTGACTCCACCCACAAGTGTACGACAGCGGGTTCAAGGCCGCCGCCGACCGAATCCCAAAACCACTCAAACGGACGGGAAGGTGCATCTAGAGGCGCGCCAAGCGAGACCGGTTCGGATCCTGGTCCCATGTCCCCTGAGGGAGAAGCTGTCCGAAACACTCCTCCAGACCGCAGCCCCAGTCCCGAAACGCCTCCACCATAGCAGGCCACAGCGACAAAGTGCAGGTCAGGAAAACCGGTTGCGCTGACACCACAATGGCCAAATGGTGTGCCCTCAACTGGGGGTAATCGAGCAGTGAGAGTCAGAGCAATGGGGCGTGCAACAGCTCCAACTGCTCCCGCAAATGAACCACCTTCCAATCCTCGTCTCCAATCGGCACACTGACCACGCTGAGCCCCTCCTATGTGCACCGCATGCCCGGAGGGAGCTCTCCGACCGCCTCTCCGCTACCATGCTCCCAGAACAAGCACTTGTGAGGCTGCATGGCTTGACCAACCCAAGCGAGGCGCTCCTGCAGCATCCCGCACGCCTCCAAGATCCGCTCCCGCGGCCCCATGATGTAGGTGTCGTCTGAGTAGGTCAAGAAGTCAATGTCGCGAAACTCCCGAATGGTCGGCTCCAGGACATGTTGCTGCGTAAACGTGAAAAGGAAATGACTTAGTGGGTCCCCTTGTCATGAACCACACGTCGACACCAGTGACTCAACAAAGGGGCCAGCGCGCAGGTACAAGTCGCTCGGAACCCCATAAAAGATCCGCGGACAAGGGATGAGTCCGGAGAATGGGGAGCTACAGAACGCCTCGAACATGACCCAGCGATGGAAAGAATTGAACAGTTTGGCCACATCGATCTCGAGCACACACCACTAGGAATGAATCACCAATGCTGAATGAAAGGTGCGAGTAAGGATCTCCACATCCGCCTTAGTCCCAACCCCCAGCTGGTTACATGGCAAAAAGAAAAACGCCTTCGCCGAACGAAGTGTGATGCAAAGCGCCCGCGACAAAATCCGTAGAAGAACCTCCTCAATGGCCACGGGCCGGACATCCCCGTTCGGCTTGGAGAGGCCGACGAGGTTGGAGGCCGCAAGCCACGGCCCCGCTCGAGCGGGCATCTGCCCCACCACCCATTGGGAAAACACCTCAAGAAGATGTGGCAAATGAGCCGGCTCTGTGAGGAACAAATTGCGCAAATGCTCCGTCACCTACCCCGAGGGACCGTGAGTGGAAGCATGCGCAGCCGTATGAATAGCCTGTGTCAGGACGTCTACCGTGAGCGTGGGCCACAACGAGTCATCGACAGAGAACTCCCCCACCCAATTCGGGACAGCCGCAACGTTGTCCGGGTGCTTGCGCTTCAGTGACTCCACCATCCCCTCCGATGGCTGCGCCAAATCGCTAGCAGTCGAGCAAGCCAGACTGCGGCTCCACTCTCCCACTTTGCACCGCGTCCGATACCGGGCCAAGCGGAGTGCCTCGGGGTCGTGGGCCAGAAATAAGTAGGCGAGAGGACGCGCAGCAAGCCACATTGGCGCCAATGCGGAATCAAACATCGGACGCCAAAAACCCTCCTAGAATAAGGCCAGCCGCTCCATCATCGATGCCTTCTGACCCACGCCAGCCTTGGACGGCACCCTGAGTATCAGGCGTGGAAAAGCCAGCAAGATGAGTGTGCCGGCCTCGTCACCAAAGTGGCCCTTCAACCGCTTCAATACGCTGTACAAAGCGTCAGTCACTCCCTGCCGAACCCGCTGCGGGACGCGACGCAAGGTCTTCCCAGGCACCGCCTCGACTGTGAAGAACGCCACCCACTCCCAGGTGGAAACCTCGGCCCATACATTCGCCCGAATATCCAGCGGTATCAAGTGGTCTTGCTCTTCAAAGTCGGTCGGGGACAGGATCGATCCCAAGGCTTGCGCTTGGCGTTCCACCTCCGCTGCCCGGCATGCGCGCATGTGATTTTTCGCGCCCCCCTGGTGCCCGGATTGCTGGGTTGTTCAGCACAATGGTGAGTATGTGTAGAAATAGTGGATGATAATGCAACGAATTTGCTTTACCTATTCACTTAGTGTATTGACATGTCGCTTCTTTGTAACAACTAGCAAAACTGAACCAGTCGGAGAAGTCTAAGTGGGATCAGACCACAGAACACAAAAACCCCCCCCAAAGCCTTGGTCGCTTCCAAACCGCAGTATCCCGTGCCGCATCCTTATCGACTGGGCCGAACCGCGATTTCGGCCCAGACCAGCCAAATGTTGTGATGTTGCGGATCAGGGCTAATTTTTCGTTTTCCAGGACCCAGCGGTCTCAGGATTCGCGTCACTAAATAGCCTAAAAATTCAGCATTACCAGGAAAACCTCTCTTTATTTCAGGATTACTTTGACCTCTCAATCTGAATTTCAGAGTGTTTTTTGGAACTCCCTACATATAGGCGGAACCTGCGGGCACTTCGAATACAAGCAGGACGGACATCCATGGAAGAAACGATGGAGAAGAATACAGAGTACACACTTGCTGCTGTTGCTGTCCCTCAGCACCACACCAAGTTCGACACTTTCCTTGTCAATCGCGACAGAAATGCGTACAACTTAGAGGAGTGCGAAGCCTGGCTAAGGTGATATTTAGGGGTTGTGATAGTCTGAAAGCCTTGCACTTCTGTAGTTGTGAAAGCTCCACGGTCACACCTTCAGATTGTGGGGAAAATTGGTCAGGGCTGCAATGGGGGGGATGGTAGGGTTACAATTCCTGCACGGGTAGGTTTCCATTCCAGTCGGATAGTCAGGAAATGTTTTCGCGCAGTCCGGATTTCTCAGAGAGTTCCTGGGAAACGCCCAGAATCTGTCAGGAGGTTTGTGATTCCGAAACCCTTAAAATCAGGATTTCAGCTGGAAAGACCCGGAATGTACCTGACATTCCGGATGTTTACCCTTGAACCGAGAGCCCTGTTGCGGACATATTGCGCGTGGGTGGGAGTCCGTAACCACCCACGTCCAGCCCACTGTGTGTTTCGTGCGCGTTCGTGTTTGCTCCCATTCTGCGCCACCCCACGAGCACAAACTGGGGTAGCTCAGCCAAGACCAACTCCAAGGGTGGCCGCAACCCACGGCCAATGAGTATGCGCCTCGGCCTTTGCTAGGGTGCTCCTTCTCGCTCGTCCTGCGCTTACCCGAAAAGAGCCAAGTTGATTTTGGCTGGATATAGCCTCCATTTCCAGCCCTTGTGTACCTTTCCTTAGAATCCTCAGTGAAGGCTTCACTACTCCACTCCCTTCGAAGCATCACCACCATCCCACAACAACCGACAAACTTGTTAGCACCGAACAGCAAAAAAAAAACCAGTAGAGCTTTCATACTTCTTCCTGCACAAGCATTAGGAACGGAAAGAACCATGGGCCAAGTCTGGCTGCCTAGAGCTTCTTGCGAGCGTCAAATACGAGTTTCCGCATCATGGGCCTTCACTGTCTTTCTCGTCGTCAGCACTCTAGCCGCTGTAGTTACCGCTGGTAAGCGCAGCCGCGTCACGCAGTGACCATCTTTGCGCCGGCGTCGCACAATTGTCGAATAACTGCGTCGCATCACTCTCGCATAATTTTTGCAAAGCAGCACTGCCCTCCAGTATGACACGAGAACTCCACCCGCTTTTTTCTACTCCTTTCCACAATTCCACGATTTTACCTCCGTTGCAACGAATCCGAAATGATCCCTGCCGGCTCAGCGAACCGCTTAGCTTCCCCCCATTTTCCGCTCACCGCCCCTCCTCCGCTCCCTCTGTTCCTCGCTTTGTTTGCTCCTAGATGGCCCATCCAATACCCCGACGCCCGCGGTCGCAATGAACGACCTATTTGACTCTCAGTCGCACTCCGTCCTCCCGACCGCCGCCGCCGTCGCCGATGCAGTGGACGAGGAGCTGGCGACCGTTTCGCCTGCTCGAGGCGGCGACAGCTGCGACGGCGAAGGCGAGAAGTCGCTAGAGGCGAGCGACACGGTCATGGAGGAAAGCGACGCGTGGGCGGCCGAAGTCGACACCAGCGCGCGGCTAAGGCGCCGGGCTGGCGATAAATCCGAGTACCTTGCGACTGTGGTGGCCAATGCGACGGCGTACGACTCTCATGGGAGAAGGAAGCTCGCAAGTGGGTTTATCTTGACCATTTCGTTCCAGCTTAGCGAACTCTCTCAGAGACGGCTTGCGACGAGCTCCTCCGAGACGGCTTTTTTGTTTGTTCACATTACCCCGGGTTGATGAGTACCGACCGATGCCCCCTGGAAACGGAAAATGACAGATGGCTCCACACTTCCAGATACCGTATTGATGTTTCGTTAAATCGCACTTGGTCGTGAGGAACGCACGGTGACAACGCACCAGATAGCCACTAACTGTCTTTCTTCTGCGACCCTACCTGCTCGGACAAGGGTGAGTGAGTGGGGATAAGCGAGAGAGAGTGAACGTGGCTTATGTAGCTGAAACGTGCGTAGAGCATAGGTATCGTTCTTTTTCTCGCCTTATTACCCACCCCGTCCCTCTACCTTCGTTGCCAAGCATTACTCTCGGTCTCCTGTTCCCCTGTCCCCGTTATCAGCCAAGTGCAATCTCGGTAAAGGCGCGTGGGTGTACGTGGACTCGTACCGGCCCATCTACAGCGGGCAGTCGTGCAAGTTCATCCGCTCGGGCTTTAACTGCGAGCGCAACGGCCGCACGGACACCAACTACCTGCGCTACCGCTGGAAGCCGCGCAACTGCAACCTGCCGACCTTCGATATAGGCTCGTTCCTCCCCATGATGCGAAACAAGGTCCGTCTCTTGCGAGCTGGGGAGAAGAAATCAAGCACGCTGGGTCGTGCTGGCACGTCTTTCAGAAAGCGATAAGGAAGGAGAGGGATGGGGAGGACGGGGGAGGGAAGGGGTCGGGGTCGGGGTCGGGGGGGGAAGCTAATAAAAGAGGCTCACGTCTTGCCCATGCGTCATGCATCTCGTTCCTCTGCCCCGCCCTCTGTCTCCCCCCTTGTGCCCGTCCCTCACACCCCCCCCCCTCCCCCCGTGTCATGAGCCAGGTGATCGCGTTCATCGGCGACTCCATCGCGCGCAACTTCCAGCAGTCCGTGGCGTGCCAGGTGGGCGCGCGCGAGCTCGTCCAGGAGTGGGCGGGCACCATCAACGGCCAGGCCGTGTCGGGCCTCTCCATCCCCAACTACAACATCAAGCTCCTCGCTTTAATCTCCCCCTTCCTCGCGCGCTACTCCAACTCGCCCGCGGATTTCACGAAATACGGGCTGAAGCCGCCGCAGCGGAAGGAGATCGAGGGCGGGAACGGCGGCGCGCAGGGGTACATCGTGTGGACGGACCAGCTGGACGCCACGTGGGCGGCCGTGATTCCGTCTGTCGACGTGGCGGTGTTCATGTCGGGGCACTGGTTCCTGTCGTCGCAGGGCCGCACGGACGTGCGCTCACTGGCGTACGTGCGTGGGCGCACCGTGAAGGCGACGACGGGGTTCGAGGCTTACGCCACCACCATGAAACGAGTGAGACGCGCAAGGGGCACGGTGAAAGGGGGGGGAGCAGGTGAAAGGGGAGCAGGGGGAAGGGGAACTGGTGAGAGGGAGGGGTCGTGAAGAGTGCGTGGGTCTGTTGCCACTGTGAAACGAGTGCCTTACTGTCGCGTGCCCATTCCAGCACGCCACTACCCAATCCTTCCGAAGTATAGACGTCTCAAAGCCCCTATCCCTCTTTCCTCCTCCCTCTCCCCTCTCCCTCCTCATCCCAGGTGGTGCAGTACCTGGACAACGACATTAAGTACAAGGGCCTGGGCCTGTGGCTGAGCTACACGCCTTCGCACTACAGCTCGTCCAACCCGCCGTCGTGCGACTACAACGCGCCGTTCCCGCCCACAATGGCCATCGCCGACAAGTCCGCCGTCACCTTCAACGACATTGAGAAGCGCATCACGCGTGCATCCCAGCGGTTGAAGCACATGGATCTGACGGCCATGATGGCCCTGCGGCCGGATGGGCATGTGCAGAAGTACTACGGGCCGGCGAAGAATAGTAAGACCAAGTGGGACTGCTTGCACTGGTGCCTGCCCGGCGTGCCGGATGCGTGGACTGACGTGCTGCAGCAGGTGTTGGTCACGCGCCTGGGGCAGCAGCCTGCAGCATGAGTGGGGAGGCTCTGGGGGGAACTGTGAGGAGTGCTGGTGTATGGTTATTGTATGTGTATGGTGTTTGGGGCCAGGGGAGAGGGGGGGGAGTGCATGTGGTCAATGCTTGCATCTTTGTATGCATGATGTGGTGTGCCTGATGGGAAGGGGGTCAAGTTAGGGGGGGGAAGGGGGGGGTGGCAGTTGAGGCCACAGCAGCAGGAGCAGCCACAGCAGCAGGAGCAGCTACAAGAGGTGGAAGAAATACTAACAAGCATACACTCTCCAATGACAATTGATCAATTGCAACACTAGGCGTGAAGTTTCAGGCTGTGGAGTCGGCCGATTCCCAAGTGATTAACATGATTCTGCAGCCATTCTCGTTGATAAATTAGTGGCTTTGTTTGTGCGTTGAAGATGGTAAGATTGCATTCCCTCGTATTTACAAATATTTGTGTTTAACTGAGTGTAGTTACCCCCACATAGTCAATTCTGCACCATGTGCGCATGTGAAATCCTGGGAAATGCTCGAGGGCTGACATGGTCTCCCATACCATGGTCTCCCATCCCATGACATCTCGCCTGGGGTGGGGTGTGATGGGTGGAGAGGGGACCTATGCTCGCTGCCAAACCAGACAACATCCTTTCCTGCAAGGAGAAGCACCCCTCTAGCAGAGCAGAGCACCATATGATCCAGTTTCTCTTTTCCTAGGAGGCGGTTTACAGCAAGGAACGTCACTGCCTCATGCAACTTCAGTATTCCCTTGTTAGATGCCGAACGAGTCACCTGTCGTAAGAACAGGGTAGGTTGTATACATATGCAAAACAAGTGACGGCGCCTTCGTAATTGATTCTCCTCTTTAGATCCTGTCGATAGCGTGGCAGTTATCTCATCCCGTGACGTACTCCGGACCAAGGATTCCATCCATCGGACTGCTTGCGACGTCACTCTGGTAACTGAACGCCCGATTCGCCACAATTCGCCCATCATGAGGCGTGGCGGCCGTGGTTGTCGCCTGCTCGCCCTCCCCGACGAGCTTCTTGAGGACATTCTCCGCCGCCTCGAGCACCCGTCCGACCGCTGCAACGTCGCTCTCTCCTGCACCCGCCTCCGTCGCGTGCTGCGATCCACGCCGCACTCTCTGCGCCTCGATTTCCTCCCCGACGACTCGCGCGCGCAGCCTCGCGAGTGGCTGCAAGATTTTGATGGTTATTCCAGGGTATTTACCCGCATCACCAGTTTATCCGTGGAAATTAGCGTGAGCCTGGGGAACCAGCTGCTGGAGGCTATTGGCGCGGGCTGCCCGAGATTGGAGAGCCTGACGCTGCTGGCGGTATGGGGGGAATTCAACATGAGCGCCAGCGCGTGGAGAAAGTTCGCGAAGCAATGCCCGTGAGTACTCGAGTCTGTGGAAGAATTAAGTTTCTTCTTTCCTTGCAAACGCTCTCCCACCCCTCCCTCCCTCCCGCACCCTCTTCCCCCTACTCATCCGTCCTCTGTCTTCCCTGCTCCCTCTCCCTCTCCATCTCCCTCTCTCCCCCACCCCCCCCAATCCTCATCCCCGTCTATCTTCCGCATCTCCTGGCCTGTTTTGTCGCCTGACATCCCTCAACTTGCCTTACCCCTCAAAACCCTCCCCGATCTTCTTACCCCCCTTTCCCCCCCTTTCCCCCCCCTTTCCCCCCCTTTTTCCCCCTTTCCCCCCCTTCTCCCCCCTTCGCCCCCTTTCGCCCCGCACAGCGCGCTGGCCTCGCTGGAGCTGGACTCCATCTTCTCCCGCAACGTGCGCCTCTACAAGCGCCTCGCTCTCCCGCCCGTAGACGCCCTCCCCGCCCTGCGCTCCCTCTCCCTCCGCCTCGTCCCCATGGACGCCCTCCCCGTCGCCCGCTGCTCCGCCCTCACCTCCCTCACTCTCTGGAACCCCTCTCTCTCCGTCCTCTCCTCCCTCGCCTCCCCCTCCTCCTCCTCCGTCCCCCCCACCCTCAAGTCCCTCTATATCCACGCTGCTGATCTCGACGGCTCCCTCCCCCTACTCTCCTCCTTCTCTTCCCTCTCCTCCCTCTCTTTGTTCGCCTGTGCTTTCAACCCGTACGAGCTGCTCACGCTGTCTCGCGCCCTGCACACTCTCACCCACCTCACCATAGACGAATGCCCCTTGGCCTGCAGCCATGCAGTGGCGGCTATGGGGCGAGCCAACCCCGCCCTCGCCTCCCTCTCCCTCAGCAGCAGAAGCTACCGCCTCTTCAGCGCTAGGGGGCTGTCAACGGTGCTCCAGCTGTCGTCCAGCAAGCTCCACACGCTGTCTCTCGCCGGGCTGCCGTCGTTCCGCCCCGGCGTGCTTGCACACTGCAGCAGCCTGCGGTCGCTGACTGTGAAGGGCGCCACGGGGTCGCTGGAAGGGCTGGTGGCCATGCTGGTGCGGGTGGAGGCGAGGAGGGGGGAGGGGGCAGGGGAGAGGGGAGGTGAGCGAGGAGGGGAGGGAGGGGGGGGTGGAGCAGGGGAGGGAGGAGGGGAGGGAACAGAATCTGGAAAGGAAAGAGCTGATGAAGGCAGAGGAGAAGAGGGTGTAGCAGCAGCAGCAGCAGCAGCAGCAGCAGCAGCAGCAGCAGCATCAACATCAGCAGAATGTGCAGCAGGGGAAAGCAGGACAGTGGGCCGGAGGGAGTATCACGATATCCGCACAGAAGTGGCAGCCAGGAGCGCCGACACGAACGCGGCATTCAAGGACGTGTTCCATCTGCTCCGGGCAGCAAAGCAGTACCTGAGCACAGCGTACTCCGAAGCCCACCTGGTGCAGCATGACGAGCACAGCGCGCAGGAGTCGATCAGGAGGGTCAAGTGGGCGTTTGCAGCGTGCCAGGCTGTGAGCATGGGCGTGCGAGACTACAGCACAGCCAAGGAGAGGGAGCGGACGGCCATGCGAGCGTACGTTGCCGCCATGGCATCAGGCCAGTTCACTGTGGAAACCAGCGTGGCAGAGACAGTAGATGAAGCTGCCGCTGGGGGGGATCCAGGGGATGTGCTGTCTTCGGGGGATTACTCTGCTGCTGCTGGTGAGGCCGGGGCAGGAGGCACAGGAGGGGGAGGCCAGCTGGAAGAGGAGTCTGCCAGGCTAGCCTCGCAGTCCCGTGCAGGGCTGCTGGGGGTGCTGCACTCGCTGGTGGAGCGGCTGAGGGTGCAGTCCACCGCCATGTTAGATGGGCTCGAGTCCATGCTTGCCCCGCATGCTGCTGCCGCTGCCGCAGCAGCCACTGCTGCCGCCGCTGCTGCTGCTGCTACTGCTCAGGAAGGGCCGGATGGGCCATCTGCGGGAACACGAGCAGGGGGGCAGCAGGGGGGAGGGGCGCAAGCGGGGGGGACTGAAGGAGGGGGGACGGCAGTGGGGGGAACGCGAGCTGAGGAAGCAGACAGGGAGGGGGCACAAGAGGAGGGGCGGGCAGGGAGCAGACCCTGTATGGCAGCTCGTGTGACAGCCATCTGCCCTAGCCTGGACTCGTTGGTGCTAGAAAAGATTCAGTTTGATTCTAATCCTGGGCCACCTGGGCTGCCCACTAGCCTCTTCTCCCCATCTCCTCCCACGTCCCCTGCACCCGCAGCACCTACAGCCGCCTCATCATCCCTCTCGTTGTCCCTCACTTCCTCCCCGGCGTTTGCAAGCCGTACCCTTTGGCACCACTCGTTTGAGAGCATTGCCTGGCCGGCTGTGTTTGGCAGGCTGAAGCGGCTGGCACTGGTGCATTGCAGAGGGGTGGGGGAGGAGCAGCTGAAGGGGGTGCTGCATGCATGCCAGTGGCTGGTGGAGCTGAGGGTGGAGCACAGCGAGGCCATGTCCGACGCCCTGCTGCTCGCAACCACTCTGGACAGGCTTACACACGCCACTCTCGTTTTATGTCACCGAGTTACCGCTGCTGGCATCACAGGCTCGCTGGGAAGTTTTCCGAGGCTACAGCAATTGAAGGTGGAAACCTGGAAGGTCTCCGATCGTGCTAGGCGAGAGTTGCTTCGTGCAGGTGTGGTGTTGAGGGGGGCATTCTAGTTTGGCTCTTGTAAATGTGTTCTCATGTGTTCGTGCTATCAGAATGTAGTGTCTGGTATATTTTGACACCGGAACTAGTTAGAGCCAGGGCTGACTTTATCAGACTATTTACTCTGATTAGTCTGAAATCTCAGACCGGTTTTTTTGGCTAAACCTGAATTTCCAGATAAGGCATTTTCCCAATCCTGATCGATTCAGACTTAGACTTTAGGGATCCTGAAAAAATCAGAGTTCACGCTTGTTGGGCTGAGAAAAAGCCCTTAGGATCTTTTGCAGAGACTAAGTCCCAGCTTGTAGAGACTTGAGACTTGGAGTAGTGCAGCGGAAGTTGAGGCAGTTGAATCCTTGTACTAGTATGTGAGAACAAGTGATTGATTAAAGAAACAAGCATACAGCAATATATAGAAGATAAGGAAGCAGTTGTAGAATACAGTTACAGGAACGGTTTATCGAGTCGCACAGCGACTCGATTGCCGCTTCGGTTACCATCCGTGATGTTGTAACGGTCAGTCGCAACCTCCAGTTGCGACCTTTCGAGTCCTTTCGCATTCTTTGTCCGCCCCCTCGTGTAACCTCCGTTGACTCGCGTGCTCCCCTGTAATCTTCCTCGAGTACAGTGTTACACTTCAGAAACGCTTAAGTCCTTGAGATATTTCCAACACTCCCCTTCGTTTCTGGAGTGCTGGAGTGTTCAGATCCGGTGACGTTTGTTTGCCCGGTTAGGAGCATGCAGTAGTCGAATTTTGCTTTCGCCAATTTCTTCGTCAGATAATCTGCGGCCATTTCTGTCGTCGGGCAGTAACTGAGTTGAAGTCTCCCCTTCGCGATTTCATCCTTGACGAAGAAGTACCGCAGGGCGATGTGCTTGGTTCGGTTGGCGAAGCCGTCCTTGTTCGCGATTTTTATCGCAGATTGGTTGTCGCAGAGGAGTGAGAAGGTGGGCAGGGTCGCGATCTTCGCTTCTTCGAGTAACTCTCGTAGGTAGAGTCCTTCCTTGGTCGCAGTACAAAGGGCGATATACTCTGCTTCAGCCGAGGATAGTGCGATTAACTCCTGCTTGCTCGACTGCCAGGAGATAGTTCCGATAGGTTCTAGTCGGTAGATGTAGCCCGTCCTAGACCGTCGATTTTCGCTGTCTCCCGCGTGGTCGGCGTCGACGTATCCGAGTAGTCGTACGGACGGTGTTGTTGCCTTGTTGTAGGTGAGCCCGATCGTCGGCGTGGAGACGAAGTAGAGTAGCGCTCGATTGAGTTCTTCGAGATCTTCCTGTTGCGGCTGCTTCAGATGTGTCGCCAGCTGGCTCGCACTATAGGATAGGTCGGGTCGGCAGGTTACTGTTGCGAATAGTAGACAGCCGAGCTTCTGTTGATACTCCTGGATTTGTTTCGCGGGGAGTTTTGTGGAGGCGCTACTGTTGTTCCCGTAGCGGTAGGGAGTTGGGACCGCAGTCGGTGTTAGACCGAATTTCTTCGCGACGGTGCTTGAGTACTTTCCAGCGTGTAGGTAGTACGCCGTGTCGTCTTCGACGACGTTCAGTCCTAGGTACTGCGTCACCTCGTCGGACACCGTGAGCGTCAGGTCCCTTTTCAGCTCCCCTTCGAACCAGGTGACGATGTCGGTGGTAGAACCGATGTAGAGCAGGTCGTCGACGTAGACGATGAGCAGAATGTAATCTCTTCCCTTCTGTAGTCGGTACATGCCTTGGTCATGTGGTAGCTGTAGGAATCCGATTTTTACGAGCCGGCCGTGAAGGTGCTGCTGCCAGAGCCGTGGGGCTTGCTTGATCCCGTAAAGGGATTTTTCCAGCTGGCATACTTTTGAAGGGTCGTCGATGAATCCGTGGGGTTGTTCGACGAAGATTTCGGCGTCCACAGGTGCGTACAAGAAGGCGTTTGCAACGTCGATTTGCCGTAGTGGTAGTTTCTTCGTGGCCGCGATGGCGAGTAGGATGCGCAGAGAGGTGTGACGGGAGACTGGAGCGAAGGTTTCTGTGTAGTCGGTTCCGTATCGTTGATCGAAGCCTCGTACGACCCATCGAGCTTTGAATCGTTCGATGGAGCCGTCTGAGTTGGTCTTGATGCGGTACACCCATTTCCCCGAGAGAATGTTCTTCCCGTTGATGCTCGTTGCAGGTACCAGTTTCCATGTTTCTCGGTCTTGCAGAGCTTTTAACTCTTTTTCCATCGCTTCCTTCCATTGTGCCTTATGTTCCCCCCCCAGAGCCTGCGACAGGGTCGACGGCTCGCGCGGAGAAGGCGGCGGCGGGTGCTGGACGGAGACCCATAGTCCTAGGATCTGCAGTCCCGTGGCTGTGTGTCGAGGGGAGTTTTCATTCTCGGGATAAGCTGCTTCATCACCGTCTTCAGGATCGGGTAAGAAGTTTGGCCCGATGCGTTCGGAAATATTCGAGTCGACGGGGTGTGGTGTAGCGTAGCCTTGGTCAGCGAAGTGGTAAAAGGTGTCGAGGTTGTTGCTATCGAGAGGATTATCTTCATCGAGTGGAACAGGTACGGAGCAGTAGGGGAGTGGTCCGGCAGCCTCCGAGGCTCCAGGGACGTCTTCTTCTGCTGCGTCAGCCTCGGCAGCATGGTCAGCGAAGGAGCGAAGGCCCGCGAAGCCGTCGGTGGGGTCGTCTGAGTTGGCAATGTTGTCCAGGTAATGCTGCAGCGTCAGTCGCTCGTAGAAGATAACATCACGTGATGCCACCGTATTTTTGTCGTGTATGTCGAGAATCTTCCACGCGTGAAAATGTTTGGCGATGCCGAGGTGTAGTCCCCACCGAGCTCGTTGAGTGAAGCGTCCTGCTCGAGCTGTGTGGGGTCTGTATTGTACCATGCAGCCGAAAACTCGAAGTAATTTTGTGCTGCCCCTTTTTCCCGTCCACAGCAGGTGCGGTGATGCGTTGTTGGGGAGCGATGACGAGGACAACAGGTTGTGCAGGTGGACTGCATGTGTCATCGCGTCTGGCCACAGTGTATTGGGCAGCCTCATCCCCAGAAGCAGTTTTCGCATCGTCGTCTGCAAGGTCCGGTTCATGCGTTCTGCTACCCCCTGCTGCTGGTGAGCATAGGGCAGAGACACCAGGCGTCGGATTCCCCTTTCCGCGAGATAGGTCCTGAAGCGTTGTGACTGGTATTCCAGTGCACCGTCTGACTGGAAACTCTTGAGTTTGGTTCCTGACTCTCGTTCGGCGATTGGAAGCCATGTGGTGAAGGCCTCGAAGGCTTGATCGCGCGTTTTGAGATTGAAGTGCCAGACGTATCTGGTTGCGGCGTCGATGAACGTGATGACGTAGTTGAAGTCGGCTTCGGTGTCGTCTCGAGGCATGTTTAGAATATCGCTGTAGACCTTTTCCATCGGAGCGTAAGTGGGTGCGTTTGGATTGTGATGGGCTGGGAAAGGTTGATGAGGAAGATCTGCTTCGGGGCACGTGAAGCATCGTGCTCTTGGTCGGCGAAGTTCTTGGCCGCTCGTCGTTAGAAGGGCGTTACGTTCTAACACCTCTGCTTGTATTGTTTGTAGTATCGTGCTGTTTGCAGGATGTCCGAGACGTTGGTGCCAGATGTCGTCGGGAGCGCGGTGACCGGGCGAGCGGTGGTAGATGTCGGCGTTGGAGAAGAACGCGACGACCGAGGCGGGACTTCGACAAGCTTCTCGTGTGGCGGGCATAAGTTGGTCTGCTTCCGTTGGCGGTCCTCGTGTTGATGGTGGTGGTACTCGGCTGGGTCCTGCTGCCGATACTGCAGGTGATGGTTTTGTTGGGACGCTTGCTGGTACTTGTCTTTCTTGTCTGATAACTGCTAATGCCCGTGTTCTCTCTGCTGCAGGTATGGTGTTGGAGTGCCAGAAGCCGTCACTGTCGAAGTCGGGATCAAGATCTGGTGGGTGAGTCCAGGCGGCGAACGATACGATGCCATCGCTGTCGGCAGTTCCGCGGTCGGGGACGAAGTCCAACACGAAGACACCGGACTTCAGGAGGGCACGACCGATGAAGAGACCGCCCTTCCCGTGGTAAAGTCGGAACTCGTTGGAGAAGGAGTCGCACTCCAGGTGAATCCCCTTAGCCATTAGTTGGCTTACGCTTAGTAGGTTGTATCCCAGATTGTCGACGATGAGGACTTTGTTGAGCTGAAGAATAACGTTTGTCTCCATTGATTGTAACTGAACCACGCCTTGCCTGTTTGTTTTCAGGTTTTCGTTGTTGGCGACGGTGATGACGACGTCGCGGTTGAGGCGTCGCTCGTGTTGTACGAAGCGTCCGGAGGAGCACATGTGCTGACTGCAGCAACTGTCCAAGAACCAGGTGTTCCGCCCGGTGGGTTCGGCGTTAGCGACTGCAGCGTATGTCGGGTTGACCTGAAGTCCTTGCGAGCGCGGCGGCGGGAATTCCTCTTCGTCTGGTGCGTAAGTGGGTGGTGAAGCGGGTGCGCAGTTGTCGATGTGTACCATGCAGTTGATGATGTTGGGTGTTTGTTGTGCAGATGTTGAAGAACGCCTTGGAGGACTTGCTTGAGTGGAAGCGACTTGTGGGTCTGCTGCACGGTAAACGCGAGGGCGGTTGCAGTTGACCTTGGAGTGCCCGGAAGTCTGACAGTTGTGGCAGAACGGCGGCACGATGGTGAGTCCTCGGTTGTCGCGTTGATCTTGCTTGCTGCGTCGGTTGTAGTTGTTGTCATTTCTTCTTTGAGTGTAGAAGACTAACTGCTGTTGCTTCCTTGGTTGTCTTTCCTCGAACAGATCCATCTCCTGTTGTTCAGCGTGAAGCTCGGCGCAGAGGTGCATCTCCGAAATTCTTCCGTGGGCTCGAAGAAGTGATCGTGTGGTTCTCCATTCTGGCCCGAGCCCGGCGAGGACAAGTGTCACGAAGCTTTCTTCAGTGATCGTTCCTCCGCACCGAAGCAGGCGGTCGCGGAGGGTCTGGCAGCGACTCATATACTGCATCGCCTTTTCCCCGGTCTTCATCTGTATTGTTGTCAGCTGTTGCATGAGTCTGCTTTGTGTCACGCTGTCGTTTGCTTGGTAAAGGCATTTGAGGTGGTGCCATGCGAGCTCCGCGGAGTTTCCATAACTCCGATACGTTCTGATGCTCTGCTGCTCTTGTGGTGACAGGTTTCTCAGGA